TACTCTGGCTTTTAGCCTGCTGTTCTCGTTTACTACACTCTAGCTGCTCGCTGACTCCTTTCTTGGATACTAGCAAAAAAAAAGAACAATACTGACATTCTGCACTATGATTCCTCTCTTGGATACTAGAAAAAAACAGTACTGACATTCTACACTGTGATTCATTTCTTGGATACTAGCAAAAAGAAGAACAATACTGACATTCTGCACTATGATTCCTTTCTTGGATAATAGCAAGCAGAAGAACAATACTGACATTCTGCACTATGATTCCTTTCTTGGATAATAGCAAGAATAAGAACAATACTGACATTCTGCACTATGATTCCTTTCTTGGATAATAGCAAGAATAAGAGCAATACTGACATTGTGCACTATGATTCCTTTCTTGGATACTAGCAAGCAGAAGAACAATACTGACATTCTGCACTATGATTCCTTTCTTGGATCCTAGAAAAAAAAAAAGAAAAACAATACTGACATTCTGCATTATGATTTCTTTCTTGGATACTAGCAAAAAGAAGAACAATACTGACATTCTGCACTATGATCCTTTCTTTTATACTAGCACAAATGACGCCATAAACATTTAGAGAGATCAGTAATGGGCTGGGATAGTACTATGAGAAGAGGAATATGACGACCAATTTGACCATGGACACGGGATAGCAAGAACACACTGAATGAAAACCCACGAGGTGTGCAAGTTGTCAGTGGACAGTGGGCGTACCGAAATGAGAACAACGCCCTGCCAAGGACCTTCTACATGATGATGATGAGCCAGTAGGTTGCATTTCCTGTATCCCTTACGCTATAAATGATCTTTTAACATATAGTAAGCTACTTCATCAGCACTGACACACACACACACACACACACACACACACACACACACACACACACACAAACACACACACACGTACACACACACGCACACAAAACCACTTAGAGAGAGGCGTCTTATAAATTTCTAGGCGGGGTGGGTGACTCATGGGGTCTAATTCTATTCCAAGAGAATAATAATAAAAACGATAAAAATAATTATCTGTTGTATCTCAAATAAATATAATGTTTCGAAATAAAATTAAATGTATAAACAAAGACCTGTAAAGTGAATTTTTAGTAATGGATTTTGAAAAAAGTCGTTTAGCCGCCTTATAAAATGTTGAGTGTGTGTTGATTCAAGAACCGATATCACAATATTCGGGCATTCCCATAAGAGCTACGTCCCTATCTTCAGTAGTCAGCCTGTAGTTCCAACACCAATGGTGCCAGTGGCATTCTGATTATACGTCCATTTTGCCTTTCCTTTGAGGATCGAGTAGCAGCCAGATCCCCTCGTCACTCCCCCCTGATGCATCACTCTCACCAGACTGTTATCCGTTTGCACTTCAGAACTGTACACGTTCTCCCACAAGGTCCTAACCACGTCTGCATTATCTTGCATCAATATTCCATTAGGTTGTTGGGGGGGGGGCGCGGGTGAGGGGTGAGTGACGGCTTAGCCAACGCCTTCTCCAGATTAATCTGGACAAGGCGTTGGCTTAGCCCACACCCTTTTAGAAATTGTCAGCAAGGGGTGTCTCGGGAGTTCTGACACCCAGTTTGTGATGCCTGAATGCTTCTTATTCTCTTCCATCTTGTACCTCAGCGAAGTGTCCGGGGGAAAAGAGGGGGGGGGGGGCGGGTTGTAACATTCGTTGATGAGCTCTTTCAAGAGCATTATAAAGACTGATGTTCATTTCTGCGAGGCTGTTTTTAATGCCATCATTTCATTTTTCCGAGGTCTTCCGCTCGCTCTATACTCGTTGTAACGTTTTAGTGTGGCTCGCTGTGGCAGATAGAACCAGGGCATTCTTGTTAGGTGTCCAGACCACTTCATTTGTTGTTCGTTGATGACTTGTAAGACTGGCTTTTTTTTTCCAGCATTCGTCTGATTTCGTGATTTTATATTCTTTCTTTCCTTGAAACTTCCGCAGCTCTTCTATGACATTTCATCTCTGTTGTCACAATTTTACGATCATTGTAGGATGTAAGTGTCCACGTTTGGCACTGATAGTATAGTGAAAACCTGAAAGCTAATCTATCGATATCCCAAACGATACACGAATGCTTCCTTGTGCATCTATTGGTTGCTTTAAAAACCAATGACTACAGCGCTAATAATAGAATTCGTAATTTATGTGTGTAAATGTTGTCCTTTGATAAAACGAGTAAAATTCTTCAACGAGGAAGAACGTGATAACTGAGTCGATGTTGTTGAACCACACTTTACCCATTTCTGGACAGTGTCTTTATAAATTACTTTTTTACGACATATCCACGACTAATTTAATGTCTGCTTGATGTGAAAAACGTTACATCTCCCTCATTCTTTTTCTTCTTCTTTTTCTTCTTCTTCTTCTTGTTATCATCATCCTCATCATCATCATCATCACCGCAAAGTAATAATTATCATCCTCTTCCCATCGCATCTCTTTCTCTCTTCTTCCTATTCTTGTTCTTCTGCTTATTCTTCTTATTCCTCCTCCTCTTGTTCTTCTTCTTAATTTTTCTTTGTTAGCTGGCTGTAAGCTCCAGTGAAGAGTCCTGGCTGTTCGTCCGTTTGGGTTTTGGCCTTGTTCCAGGGTCTGAGTTTTGCGTATGCATCCGTTTAATTGGCTTTTTTGTGTTCAGCTGGTTCTTCCTTCCCGCTCGGGCAGATGCATTCCGACTTCGAATCAGTTTGAGTCGACTCCTACGACATGCTCTTTGGAAAGGCAGTGGGTCTATTCTTCTTTTCCCTACAATGTGGCCCTGGAACCCACACACGGAATTATTATTTGTATTATTATTATCATCACCACGATAATAATTATCATCCTCTTATTCCCTCTTATTCTTCGCTTTTCAATGTCTCTTCCTTTGTCTTCTTCTTCTTCTTCTTCTTCTTCTTCTTCTTCTTCTTCTTCTTCTTCTTCTTCTTCTTCTTCTTCTTCTTCTTCTTCTTCTTCTTCTTCTTCTTTTCTTCTTCTTCTTCTTCTTCTTCTTCTTCTTCTTCTTCTTCTTCTTCTTCTTCTTCTTCTTCTTCTTTTTCTTCTTCTTCTTCTTCTTCTTCTTCTTCTTCTTCTTCTTCTTCTTCTTCTTCTTCTTCTCCTCCTCCTCTTTCTTCTCTTCCTCCTCCTCCTCCTTCTTCTTCTTTTTCCTTTTTCTTCTCATTCTTCCCATTTTCATCACTACCAGAATAATAACCGTAATTCTCTTCCTCCTCATCTTCCCTTCTTTTCTTCTTCTACTTGTTTTTAATATATTAATATTATTATTATTATTATTATTATTATTATTGCGTACAATGGCGGTAGTGAAAAACAAGATAAGGATGACCAGCCTGAAGCACCATGGCAATGAGGTAAGTCAATGAAAATAATAGAAGAGAACTACATTTTTTTATAATCTGTTACACCTGCATGACTGCAGGACATCCAGTAGCCCAAAGAACTACTTCTCGGGCACCATTCCAACATGAACAAATCCCAGATATTCCCTTCAGCCTGTAAAACTTATACTGAGTCGCCTTCTGCCTACGCCAACGAACGGGGCGAGGTGACAGCACCGAATTAGAGAGTGAAACAGCCAAAGAAACAGGCTGTGGCCGCTGCGTCATCATTATTTCAGGGTTAACATATTGCTACTGAAACAAAACAAAACACTGGCACATTATGAAAATTGATAAAACTAGTACTAAATAAAAACAAACACACGTATATATAAATCGTTGCATATGTATGAGAATTTACACTCAAAACAGAATATAGAAACGATAAAAGAAAATAAACTACGGGTGCAATGGAATCTCTGTGAACGCATGTTCTTCTTATTCTTCTTTCGTTCGCCTGAAATAGATTATCTATATCTGCGATGTTGTCTATAGTATGAACTTCACTGTCTTTTGTAATTCACTTAGCGACCCGTGAAGTTCGGCTTGCACCGGTGTTTCTCTTGGGCAAAAGTGTTGCCTTGATATTTTGTATCTGGTACAGTCTTGGAGGACGTGATCTGTTGTCTAAGGTGCCAATCCACATGTGCATATGGCTGATTCGCCGATTTAAAATTATGTGCACAATGTAGCTTTCTGATTGATTTGATTGCTCCCTTCTTCTTCTTCTGTTGATAAGATAACGCCTGTGATATGATGCGTGGGTTACCCACTGCGTGAGCTTAGTTACCAAGTGCACAATAAATCAATAAAGCCACATGCTATGTCATCGAATCTCCTTTATTATGATCATCAAACATCGTTGAACGACTGGTTTATTATCTATTTCCCTTCTTGATTAAAATCAGAACTGTCTTTACCACTCATTACATGGGACATCTTAGGCAGACGAATAGTTTGACCATGGAGAATTTGTCTTTGCTGCCCATCATCATCGTGTCGTTATATGCCACATAAGGCTCACAGTCTGGTCCTCCATTCAGTCCAATCCTGTGCAATCCTTTCCAGCATTTTTAGCTTTTAGCAACGTTCGTCTTAGGATTTCCTCAATTCATTTGTTTCTCATTTCTAAACTTGCATAGTGATTCTCTGCCATTTTCTCGTGATGGGACAAATTATATTATCCTTCTTTTTTCCTAACTATAAATACAAGCTGTTGTCCATTTCTCTAATTTTTTCACTTCTCTTGTAAATTCACTCTGCCTATGAGGATTTTGGCGTCCTATTGTGGTTAAAAAAATAGACCCACTGCCTCTTAACAAGCATGCCGTCAGAGTCGACTCATGGATCTTTTTAGAAGTCGGGCTGCATCTGTGTGACAGGCAAAGAACCAACAGTCTGCATATAAATAAGCCAGATCTGTAAAACAGATGTGCAGGAAAAACTCAATTTCTGAAACAAGGCTCAAGTCCAGAAGTGGACGTACAGCCACAACTTCCCGTTTTAGTTTACAGCCGGTAATTTAAAGAAGAATTCGTCATTTTCTAGTGTCCCCCATAGTTGAGTTCCGAGCCAAGTTTTTGCCATGACGTCATTGTGTTGTTCCAGCAGCCAGGAATCAACTATGATGGCGACCCCCACAACCTTGAATATCGGCGAGCCGGCTGACGAACGATCCGTTGACGGTAACACTGTCCCTGTTGTGGTCACTTCAGCCCACGACAACCAGAGCGGGGACCATGAATTTTCGTATGGAGACACCGAACACTTGGGACCAGAAATCTTCGACGAAGCATTATCACCGGATAAGCCAGGAATTTTGGACACGACGGATTCTCGTTCGCCCCACAATGGTTCTGTTGCAGAATACGACGAAGATGTAGATGAAGACAGCGTTTTATACACAGCAGAAAAGAAGAAGTCGTTTATCTTGAATATATTTTCAGATTTTCTGATAACACCAAATGATGTTTTCTTCAAAATATCGCCAGCCGTTGGAGCTGTCAGTTACGGCTATTTTTCTCTTTCAGTTATGGATCCTAAGTGGTTCAGCAGGTAAAATATATTTTAAGCATTGTTGTTGTTGTTCATTATATTATATATTTTAAAATATGTATTCTTCTTCTAAGTTCGCCCACAAATGAGGTGGGGAGGGGGGGGGGGTTGGTGCATTGTGTTGTTCTTGTTTATAGCTAGGCTGTGATATCTGCATTTAAAAAAACGGTGGAAGGGCAGGGGGAATCGAAGTTCTGGAAGATATTAAAACATTGATGGGAGAACGGACTCAGACTTGTAATCAGGTTGCGGCTGTTGCTATTATTATGACTATTTGTTGACTACTGAAGAAAGGGACGAAGCATGAGTAGGGATATGGGTGCAGTGATGTCAATTCTTGATTCACTCACTCATCTGCACCTTGAGATCCAACACATCTGCAAACCCATAATTATTTGCTTTTTTCTACATGCTAAACTCTTTGAGTCCCAAGGAACGAATCATGCGTTCATAGGTTCCTAGAAGCCCAATGAACGAATGATGCGCCGATTTTATTACTTTCTTTACTACCCCCTGGGCCTATGATGTTAAATCCCCTGGGACTCAAAGAGTTAAAGGGCTTTTGGGCTACCCCATATGCGCATGTGGAGGTCCCAGAATCTACACACAAATTTAACTTGTTTCTGATTTATATTTGAAATCTTTATAATTAAAGAGAATTAATTTACCTGATTTTTTTCGTGCTCCTCATTGTTTCTGACTTTAATAACATAATCATCCTAATTGGATGTTATAAAGATTCACTTCATAATTTATTATTTTGATTTTTTTTTTTCTGAATTATACACTTCATGTTGCCTCTTGTTACACTGAGTACCATTAAATTGTAAAATAATCCACATGATCCCTTTGCATAACATAAAGATCCAGTTTACATAACTTAAAGGTCCAGTTTTGAACATTTTTCAACTGCTAGACAAAATTCGGGTCTTACAGCTACATCCTCTGATCCTTCCTACAACATACTTTGTTTCATGGCCATGATATAGTCTAGGTTTTTCAGTAGTTGCAATCATGCAGGTTATCAATAATCTCTTACAAGTGATCACATCTTCCAAGACTGTCCCAAATACAACAGATCAGGCAAAAGTTCTGGCCAAGAGAAATACAGATGGAAGCCAGATTTTATGGGTCACTGAGTTAATTTTTTAAAAAGACAAGTGAACTTCATACTACAGACAACATTGCAGATATATATAGATACTCTGTTTCAAGTGAAAGAAAAAGAACAATAATCTTGCTTTAAAGATAATCTATTTCAAGTGATAGAAGAAGAAGATCAATAATCTTGCTTTTTAGATACAGTGGAACCTCGCTTAACGAGCATAATTCGTTCCAGAATCATACTCGTTAAGCGAAACACTCGTTATGCGAAACAATTTTTCTCATATAAATTGATGTAAAATACGATAATGCGTTCCATGTCGAAAAAGATACTCACAAAATGCTATGTATAATGTTTATTCAAAGAAAATTATATACATATTGTTAAGGAGAGTGGATCACCTTCATCTTTTCTTTAAACGCGTAACGAACCCACAAGGAATGCAAATTCGATTTGCAGAAAAAAAAGTCGAAATAATTATGATACATAGCTAATTATTTATTTTTTTTTTGACTAGAAAGATGTTCAGAGATGTGTTTTTACCGACGCTTCAAAATTTGGCGAAAATGCGACACGGCATTATCATTAAATAAATTTGCAACGCGCATAGCCACTTCCTTATTAGGGCGATGCTTCTCAATGTAAGATGCAACAGTTTGCCATGCTTTCAGCATTTCTCTTATTTTGCCAGAAAATTGTTGCTTTTCTGTTACCTCCTCCTCTGACAAACTTTCCTCCAAAACGCAGCTCTTGGCTGTGCTCTTCCACAAGCTCTTTGATATCACTGTTATCCACCTATAACCCCATGATAGTGGCCAAAGACACAATCTCGTTGACTACAGGTTTCACTGTCTCGAACCCCTTAAAGTCACAAAATAGACAACCCTCTTCGGCCAAAGCTTCTTCCAGGCAGAAGCTAAGATTCTCCTGGTAACCCCTTCTCCCGCCTTGTCGATCATCTTGAGGCAGGCAACGATGTGGAAGTGATTTTTCTCTAAAACTCTTTGAGAGTGAGGTTTGTCCCTTCAGTCACATGAAAACAATGCTCGAAGAGTGCTTTAGTGTAGAGTTTCTGAAAGTTAGAAGTAACTTGCTTGTCCATGAGCTGGAGTAACGGAGTGGTGTTGGAAAGCAGAAATTGGATCTTGATGAACTTAAATTCTTCAGATAGGTCAACTTGTAGGCCTGGAAGATGCATGTACATATATTACAATATAACACAAGTTTGAAAAAATGTGTGATCACAACTGACACTATGATGGTACTGGAACGAGTGCTAAACACAGACTGATGTAACATGTCAAAATTCAGGACTTCCCCTCTCCTCGCCACTCGTTATGCGAAACGTCGCTCGTTAAGCAAGTCATTTTTTTACAATTTGTTTTGCTCGTTATGCGAATTACTCGTAATGCGAGGTGATTGTTAAGCGAGGTTCTACTGTAATATGATTCAAGGTGAAAGAAGAAGAACAATAATCTTGCTCTTTAGATAACCTATTTAAAAAAAAGAGGAAGAAGAACAATAATCTTTCTTTTTAGGTCTTAGAGACATAGATTATTGATAAGTAATTTTTTTCTAGCAGTACCTAACGGTACTCACTACTGGCATCTTTAAGGCATAATTTCTTTCAGCGCTGCTGTAATAGACACTTTGTGGTGAGTATCGGCACCTAGACCCTGTGGGCGAGTACTGGATAATTTTTTTCTTTCAAAAAAAGTCTTTTGTTAATCTACAAACATTGTTTGCTTTAGGGAGGTTTAGCAGATGCTCAGCAGATTAAATAACTCATGTTTTTTGTTAATTATTAACCCTTCTCATTTTTCTTCTTCTCAGTATTCTTCTTTTTTTCTTCTTCTTTGTGCATTCTTTTACCGTTCGGGTGTCGAGGGAGATATAAGGTCCTGCTTGGTGCTCTTCTGGTTACTTCAACCATAGACACATCATGGTGCTGTAGAGTTTTTCTGATGTTATCTTCCCATTTTATTCTTTGTCTACCTCTTGCTCTACATCCCTCTCCTTCTTATTATTCACCAGTTGTAAACTGCAGTGGAAAGTTCTAATTGGTCATCCATTTCTTGACTTTGGTCTTGTCCCAGGACTTTGGTCCTCAGGTTCTGTAACAAGACCAAAGTCCATAAGTGGATGAACAACCAGAACTTTCCACTGAAGTTTTACAGCCGGTAAAAACTAAGAGAAAAAAAACCTTTAAAATATTGCCTGTGGGATGTTGATGGTTTTCCAGAACCTGTTCATTCAAGCTGTTGTGGAAGGTTAGTGACTCATCTCACTTAAATATGAGTTTCCTTTTTCTGTGTGATTATTATATACTTCCTGCACTTTTACTTTTTTTCCTGTCTGAGTTATTTTAGTTCCTTCTTCTTCCTCTTATGATCACTTTCTGATTTACACCTTCAGACAATTTCTTATGATAAACTTGGCTGTTTTTGGAAGTTCTCTTTTGGTTCCATACAACTTTGAGTGCAATATTGACTCAGTTGGCCAGTATTTCCATCTTAATAGGCTGTGCAAGAGACATTCTTGTTTGACTTGTTTTGTAATTTGCACACACCGCCCACATGGGCACAGTGGTGAACTACTTAGACAAAGCCTGTGCATAAGCTTGTAAAGTTTGTTAGGTCCTATCCTGAGGCTTAGAATAATGACCTGTCCATGCCAGTCAAGTAAGTGGTAGTCATCTCTGGCCAGACTCTGTTCACTTCTGATAGACTGAGTGGCCCTTTTCTTCTTAAAGTTTGTTAATGCATTCTCTTACTGTTCATATTCTACCCCCTTCTTAGCAAGTTAGTCTGCTGTTTCATTTCCACAGTTGGATGGCACCCACTGAAGTACAATTTTAGTACCCATATGTGTTCAGGGACCTCATTTTTGGGGGAAAATATAGATCCACTGCTCCTTAACAGGCATGTGGTAAATTTGACTAGTTAAGAATTTGTTGACATCGGATGTGTTGGGCCAAAAAGCAGCAGATATCACAGCCTAGCTGTAAACCACAACACAGCATGCCAACCATCCTTTTATGGGTGATTAATTTAATAGTTTCATTCATACAAGATTGTGGCAACGTTTCTTTGTTTTCTTCTGCATTCGCACTGAAAAAGGGCAGCTGTGTTGTGGTTTACAGCTAGACTGCAATATCTGCTCCTTTCGGCCCACCAGTATCCGATTTCAGCAAACCCTTTAGTCTTTATGACATGCTTGTTAGCAGTCAGTGTGCCTGTTCATGCCAACCCTTTCCCATCTCCAAACTGGGTCCTGGAACCCATGTAGGGATAACAACACTAATAATGAATTTTTAAAGAAATGCTATCCTTATTAATCTTGTAGGTAAAAGTAAAGGACCCTTTCCCCCACCTTTAGGCATATAGGGCTAGACCTATATTTTATAGACCAGTCGGCACTTGGTGGGTGGTGTGGTCAGCATCACGCCAGTCGCGTTTACTTCCTATTGCCACACTCAGTACCCACTTGAGGCTGGGTCAACCTGGGAGCCAAAGTAATTTTTTTTTTAAGTTTGGCTTCATCAGGACCCAAACCTATGTCCTTCCGATCCGCAGGCAAGCGTCTGGCCGCTACACCACAGTGACTCCTTGTTAAAACATTTTTTTTTTTTCAGTTGTCATTTTTCTGCTTTGTGTCGCTAGGCGTCGGATGTTAACAGATGATTGGTATCCGAGCTAGGGCACACTTGGTTGCCCTGGTGTATTGTGATGTTGTGGAGTCTCAAGATATCAGATATCACTCCTTCAATCCATATTTTTCTTGATCGTCGCCTACCTCTTGGTGTTTCTACTTTCATGATGTACACCCTTGTGCTGGTATCATTGGATTCATTCTTATTTAATAGCCAAACTATTTCAGTCTTTTTTTTTCAACG